TTTCCACTTTCAAATTACGTGAAATTGTTTTTTCGTAGGCGCATTGAAACAAGCGAGAGTTGCTTAGTACAAGAAAATAATATATGTCATGTTAGGAAATTTTTGTTTTTGCTTTCCTGGGTGTACTTTAAAGCGTAWGAAACGTAAATGGAATTTCAAACAAATTGTTGAATCTAGTGATGAACTTAGTTGTTTTAGTATCATAGAGATGTGATATTGTTTGCTAAAATTTTGAAAGTTTACTATAATAAACGTTATATTACATTTTTATTTGGAAGAGTAGATATTTCCATACTCCTTATTAACCAGAACACTATAGCGTTGTAACTAACGATTCCACAATGATTTGGAGAATTGTTGAGAATWATGTGATTTTCAAATGGGCACGAAAAAAATTTTAAAGAGGCAAAATCTAATATAATATAGTAAATATATTTCCCAAATAATTTACCTTTTTCAATTGTGATAAATACCAGAAACTTAACTCTAACAACATTAAAACATACTTTAAAAATCTTGCATTAATTTTTATATCAAACAGATTTTCCTCTGTTAAATTATAATTTTTTTTGTTTTTTTAATTAGTTTATAATTACCATTTTGAAAGAGGTGATGTTTTATTTCAATATCCTTAAAGTTTACTTTCAATTTGAATTAAATTTTGTATAACACTGTCAATTAAAAAAATTTACATATAAAGATATTACAATTTATTATAAATACTGAAATCGAATACTAAGGAAATATGTATTTTTTGAATTTTTGACAGAAATAATATAAACGGTGGTTATGACAGTTGCTCTTCTGCTAAAATTTGCCTCCTGGTGTCATTGTTCGAAAAAAGAATCGAGGGGAATGGGTGTTGTTTTGGTTATTTGCTTTTCTATATTTTGCATCCTATCGTTTTTGAAGTCTTGTAATATGAATTAATATGTTAGAAAGTGAAAATTTCAGAAAAAGTGGTCAGAAAAAACATCTAATTTGTTTACTTTGTTATAACCTGCCAAAATGTAGGAATTTATTTCTGGCAATTTAATGTAAAATATCATCAACATAGTTTACCAAATACTAAATATATCCTAAATATATGTGCAGAACCATATTATATGTGTGCCGATAAAGAAAATTCATGTAACTAAATGACACTAATTAATGTGCTGAAATATAATTGTATTTCTTTGCTCACAGTTGCTTAGCAAACAAAGAAATTGTGACAAAAATTCAAATATAATTAGGAATACAAAAGAATTTTGTAGTAAAATTTATAAAATTCGGGATAAAATGTTATAAACATTTTTGATAATAAATAAGCTAAT